CGACCCCTAGTGAGAGATGTCAAAAGTTTTTGTATTAATGTTTTGTCAAATTTTCACTAGAATTTCGAAAAATAGAGCTGGAAATACATTTTGGCTTCCAAAATATAAAATTTATTCACCACGAAGCTGCATACAAAAAAGGTGTGGTTCTATAGTCGAGGCTCTAGTGAAAGCTGAACATGTATTGCAAGTAGTTGAACGAAAAGTTGGAGGGGACTTATCCATTTTGAAAGGGCATATTATGAGCCAAACCTCCATAAACAACTCTCCTTATGTTGTTGAGCTACAGCTGGTAGGTATAACAATAAAATGGACGCTACAAATCCTCGACTGTCTTTCTGGCTCCCACATTTTACTACTTTATAAATTGAATCTTAAAACGATAAAGAGTAGAGTAACCAAATCAATATGAGAACTCAGTGTGTAGTTCCTATGAATAGGTGTGAAGGTTAATGTTGATAGAAGTAGGAACTTACATTTCTTCCGACAGCTTTAATCTATTTTATTTTCAACCACATATGTAATGTTGACATTGCAGGTTTTTCAAAATCTTGAAAGTGTCACATTTCTGGACTTTGACATTTATCGGGACGGTAATGCATATGCCTGCCTAGGACGGAAAAGCATTTTCCGTCCGGGACGGCAAATGCTTTTCCGTCCCCATTTCCCTGCTCGTTCCAAATTGATAATTTTCATACAGCTCTCACATATAATAATAAAACCACATGTATTACATGGAACTAATTAAATCTATTCACTTATTTACATTAATTGTTAAATTAGCATTGTTGTTTATAATGGAAATCTTGAGACCATCCTGTTGGAATTGTGTTTCGTTTGGAACTATTATCTCTTGCGCTTGCGGATGAGTTTCCGCATGTGATGTACTTGTGGATGCACTGGACAACTGAATACCTTTGGAAGTAGAGGATAGCATCAGAGCAGTCTTACTTTTGTTCTCCAAAGATGCCTCTATGTAGCCTTCAGCAACCGTGCTCGATTTCCACCCTCCCAGTCTTTTGAGTTGCAATAGATCGGCCCCGTTGTCAACCAATAAGGTTGCGGAAGTACGACGAAAAGCATGCCCTGTAAAAGTTTCAATTTTTGGAAGCTTCAAAAAAGCAGCTATTTTATGTGGAAATTTTGAGATTGAATGATAGCCAATTGCTTGGTTATGTAATTTCCCATTTCGCCATTGAACAAATAACCTGTCATTTTTCAAATTTTTCCGCAAAGTGAGGTATTTGTGGAAAATAGCAACCCAATCTGGATCGCTTATGATAAACGATCGACTTGTGTAAGTTTTTGTGTGTGGAATTTCTATAGCGATCTTTCCTTCCAAAACGTTGACGTGCTCCATTTTCATCTTGACTAGTTCATCGCTCCTACATGCACCCGACACACCAACAATTAGCGCTACCTGAAACCAGATAAAAATAAAATGGGTAACCTAGCTATAGCATACAGAAAATCATTTTGATTTTCGCATTTTTATCTTCTTTGTATATTTTTTGAAAACCTACCTTGATGCTAATGAATTCTTCAGCTGCCTTCGTGAGGAACTCGTTAATGTTTTCTCTGGAAAAAACGCTCGACTTTTTCGGCTGAAAGCCCAGATTTTGCCGCTTCAAAAAAGCTATAAGTTTTGCGTAATTGGAGATATCAACTTTCTCTTTCAATTTAATCATGGTTTTCAACATACTGTAAGTCGACCATAAAGTCGAAGGCTTCTTTTCCTTAGATAATTCGCCAAAATACGCCAACAAAACGGTCTCCGAGGCAGTATTTCTCGTTCCTTTCTGGCTACACCATGCTTCGAATATTTGAAAAGCCTTTTCGTACCGAAATTTGCTTTTTGCTGGAAGCAAACTCTCTCCAATCCTGTCTGCTGCTTCTTTTAATTCAGGTGGGGTACAATCCATCGCTTCATCTTCACTTTCCGAAATCATTTCTTTGGGGAGAACGGGGAGAAATCTAGTGAAAATCTATTATTTCCGCAAAAATACTGAGCGAAAACTACCGTCGTTAAGGCGTTGTTGATCTTATCTATGGTTGTTGATTTTGCGGTTTCCTGTGGTTTCGTCTTTTGTTTTGGCCTTTACAGGGCCTTTGAGATCGTCAAAATTGATGACATTGACAAAAAAAGTGAAATATTTTTTTCTAAGGCCAGTTTTACACTATATGAAAATTTCGTATAACAGAATCTTTAGTTTTTGCATCAGAAAATTAAGGGTTGAAAATAAAAAAGTATACAAACCTCGACGGAAAACTTCATTTCTGTCTCGAGGTTGAGTTTATCTCGACGCTTCGCGTCTCGATAAACTATAATTACCTCTCGACCAGCAATGAAGTATTTTCCGTCTCGGATTGTAATATACTATTTCACGTCTTTCCTGATCATGGGGCCGAGTAGGAAAACTGTAGAAGTGAACATTTCCACTTAGTTAAGGAGACGACCGCATTTTTTCTACCCCGATCGAGTTATGTGTCGACACTATTATCAATATATAGTATTATGTGCATCTATTAACCGGTATTCCTGCCTGAGAGCAAATGCTGCCAGAAATATCTTTTAACAAATTGAAAAAAACGTAACACTACCTCCATCGAGTTATGCCCCATGTAGGGTATCGGATTAAAGATCTCGATGTCCTCTATTTAAAAAGTCGAACCTGCCTCGTGAGAACTTGTTGGGAAAAGGTGGCAAGGCAGCTTATTGGGGCAAGGGCCCGCGGTCTCAGCTTTGACACCTATCAAGTTTTGCCTTGAATGATGTGTCAAATTAAAGGTGTCGAAGTTGATTTAAGGTCTCTTCGCACAGACATCCCAAACCAGAAGGAGTGATTTTCAATGGTTGAAACTAGTTTCCCGACGGTTTCCAACCAATAAAATTCGCTCTGACTGGTTTGTGATTTCTGTGCGAACAGACCTTAAATCAACTTATTGACAACTTTAATCTGACACATCATTCAGTGCAAAACTTGATAGGTGTCAAAGCTGAGACCGCGGGCCTTTGCCCCAATAAGCTGCCCTGCCACCTTTTTCCGGTAAGTTCTCACGAGGCAGGATCGACTTTTTAGATAGAGACCATCGAGATCTGATACCCTACTTAGGGCATAACTCGATGGGGGTAGTGTTACGTTTTTTTCAGTTTGTTATTAATTTGTTGAAAGATATTTCCGGCGCGGTCGTGTTCCAGACTTACTTGTGTTGGGATAATTATTGCCACAGTTAACAACACAACAATTTGTGAAACTGTTCCTGGCATGACAAGTAGTGGGTATGCACAATAGCCTGAATTAATGATAATAAAAAGTGTTTGGCAAATAAAAATTACAAGAAAAAAAGTGTAATTAAATATAATTGTTTCGTGTAAACAACCATACCTTCATAATGAAATATATTTCGCTTTAAAATCGTTTTTTATAAGAAAAATTACATTTGTGTAAATGGAATCAAGCACTTATCATAATACAAGAACTTACGTTCATGTCGAAAGAGGGCGCTACTGTAGTTTATGGACGGACTCTATAGCATTTGCACCAAATCATGTTTTTCTAACTTTCTTACTTTCAGAGATATTCGCATTGAAAGTTTTCAAATTGACACCCTGTATATATTTAACAACAGACAAAGGACATATAAAAACTGAGGATATAAAAACAGGCAGTTTGGACTTGATAAATGTAAAATCCTGCACATAGAACGTGACAAATGGAAAGACGAATGTAACACAGAAACTCTTAACTAAGAAATGCTCGGCAACATGCAAAAAGATGAAACATACAAGTATCTATAGGGTTCCAACAGAGTACAAAAATAAACCACACGCCAATAAAAAAAACAACTAGCCAAAGAATATAAAAAGCGTTCAACATTAATACTTAACTCCAAATTAAACGCAAGTCTACCTGTAAAAACACAAACAAGATCAGAACTGACAAAACATAGAAAATTGCATCCAAATTCATTCAAAGAGATACTTACACTAAATAGAAAGGAAGGAGGTAGAGGACTAATAAATTTACACACGCTCCACGCAAGTCAAGCACACACAAATAATAAAAATACATCATTACACACAGCAGTCATACAAGCAGACAGAGAATTTATACCATATACCTACTAGACAGTATACTAGAGAATAACACATTTTTAATTTTTATGGACAACAACATAACTAAGAAGTACGCAAAAAAATAGGTACAAACCATTGACAATAGAACTTGAAAGAATATGGAAGCAAGAAAAAGTGAAAATCATACCGTGCATTATCCGCAACAGGTATTACACACAAGGCATTTACTAAATATCTAAAACAACTTCAACTAAATGCAGGTATTTATCAAAACATGCAGGAAGCTATATATATAACCCGAAATTTTCTCAGAGCAATTTAATAATAATTCAACCACTGGTCAGACTTGGCACACACCCGTTTGTCTAGGGAGACACCGGCCAAAATCCCGTCCCCGAGGGACACCAATTGCCTGTGGGTATTAACATCTGATAATTCTTGTGGTACATAGATAATTTTATATCCCACTGAACTAATATAGCCATATTAATACCGTGGTTACGATAATCATAAACAGGGTCTTAACCGCCGCGCGGGAGCTTGATCTCATAACTTCCGCGCGGGAGTTGAGGATTTCATAACTCCCGCTTTTACCTTGGATAGGTATAACTTTAAGAAAAAATATAAATTTTGGTTTATGGTTTATTCCTTTATAGAAATGGACAAAATACAGTAAATTAATTAGGAAATAAATAATTTTATTTTCCAAAACGAGCAAAATGGCTATTCACGATATATAACGCACCATGTATATATTTCAATAGGTAATTCCTATAGGTTACTCAGGCCTGAAAAAATCGAGTCCAATCAATGTGAATATTTAAAAAAAAAAAGTGGTGTATAATTCTGATGTGTAGACATAAAAACAATTAAAAAAAAAAAAGAAACAATTCAATCATTTCAATCGCCAAAGTTATTTCAGCTTCGGAAAATACATCGATGACATCGTGGTCGTATCCAGACGAAATCGACAATGTCGTACTGGTGAAAAATCCTCTGGTGGACGCCAATGGACAGGAAGCGCATGCCAATTACGATCATATCACGTTAAACATCTTGAAAAACGACAAAATTAAAACGCACCATAAACACCGCCATTCTTATCCTGTTGACGAAGAGGATCTGGCAAACCCGATCGAGCATAGTCTGGGCGGTGTTTCAAGTACGTATTTTTCTCATCTCTATATGTGTGTCTGTGTGTAATGTATTTCGAGTAGTTGATTTTTGAAATCCCTAAGTCTAAAAATGTACAAAAAATGTCAGGTTTGGTAAGATATGCATAAATATAGGTACCAACTTTATCGGATGCTTTTAAGTCTAACAATTAACATATTATTATGTGTACTTGACATACCTACTGTATTTCTGGATTGAGTATATTTATGTAACCTGGCGATGGTCGGTGCAGGTGTGCAGATGTATAGTAGGTATTTGCCCGTATATGCCTGCTTACATCCTCGCCATCGTACATGAACTAACTCATCCTTTAGATTTGTATTACCAGATTATTAATCTTTTTTTTTTAACTTCATAAAAATTATTTCTAGATGCCTAACAATAAATACAGCTGAAATTATCGCTAATAAGTAGCAAAATAGTGACGATGATATTTGTTATACAAAATCTCTAATTTTGTTGCTCTTTCTGTCTGTCTGTCTGTTTGCCTTCATTTCAATCAATCATTTTTGAATACAAACAACAGCAAAATTTACATTTTTAAATCTAAGAGTTAGATGCATTCAGGACAATTTTTTTCACCGATAGTTATTAAATATGATCTAATGGTTAGACTAAATTTTGGAGGTAAAAACATCACCAAGTTTTATCTGGTGATAGAAATATTGTTCCTTATTCACTTGTATAATTTTTTTAGGTAACACCATAGACACAGAAGTAAAAAAGTTAGTTTTCGAAAACACCTGTCAGAGCGCTATGGATAGTTGCAGCAATAACTATCACTGCAGAATGATGCTGGCGCCGATTCTGCATCACTGTGACGTGACGCGTTGCAACAGAAACAATTGTATGGAAGCTCTGAGAGCGTTTTACGCAAAACCGGATTTTCCTTGGAACATTGAAATTGCGTTTTGTTTGTGCAAGTAAGAATCAATAATTGTGCATGTAAATTTTTATGTAACACAAAAAGTATAACTTCAACACTCAGTTGGGTATTCAGTTACGTATCTGATTGCGAAATAGTACATTAAAATACAAATTTCATAAGACGTCATTTTATCGCACGAGCCCTATATTAGAAAACTAGCCGGAGGCGAGTTTTCTAAAGGGCGAGTATCTGATTGCGAAATAGTACATTAAAATACAAGTTTCATAAGACGTCATTTTATCGCACGAGCCCTATATTAGAAAACTAGCCGGAGGCGAGTTTTCTAAAGGGCGAGTGCGATAAAATGTCTTATGAAACGAATATTTTATACTATTTTTTCTATTTTGGTATTGTTTAATTTTAAAAAAAAACTTTTCCTGGAAATTTTATTCTCATAATTCCTGATTTCATATGTTTAGGTTGGTAACACTACATGCCAAATATAGAAATCTTCTATTATTTTTTATCGCGAATGACAGTTCGATGGCCATCAGTCAGCCAGTGTTACCAACCTCCGATAAGTAAAAAAGGAGTTTCACAAAGAGCTTCTTTTCGAAACTACTTTTAGTGTCGAAAAGACTTCGATATGACACCAAAATAGAAAAAGTAATTTGAGCATTCATGATATCCTGACCTATTTTTGAAAAGTCAAACCTTGAAAGTAAAATCCTCATAGTCATAATAAGCCAATAATAGAAACGGTTGACGAGAAAATTATTTGCAATGTCGATTTACCAAGTGGTTTACGCTACGCGTTCACAGTCTTGTGAACTTAATCTGTTTTTGCCCCTGATAATGGCGAGTTATATTAACCAATTGCCACGCTGATTTATAATCAAATATCCATTTTTTATATGCTTTATTGTGCTTACCCCTTTCCTCTATGACTTTTTAAATACATTGTTGTAAAGTAAACATCAAATTGCTATATCGGCATTTAATTCTTATTTAAGCCAGCGCTTTATTTGTTTTCAAGCTTTTGCTGTAGAAATTTGATCCACATTTTTCCTTTTGTCACCTTTGTATTTTAATCAACAAAATAAATGTTAAAATACAAGTTTCTGAATCGAAAATATAATTGGCGCAGTCGTACGGATGCTCGTGCTTAAGTTTCGGGAAAGTCGATACAGTCGTAATCCGTCGCGAAAATTTCAAAAGACTGAAGGAAGTTCGAAAAAGTTAATTCTTCGGGAAAGTGAAATTTGGATTATCAGTGCTGCTATTAAACGTTCCAGATACTGTCCACTTCGAATTGGTGGAGGAATAACAAGAAACAACGTGTGAAAAAAGACTACTGTTATTAGCATCGTGCCTAGTAATTACATCCTTTCTCTTTATACATTTTGTAATTGGTGTTCCATAGTTAAGATTTTTGGATTTTTGATCTTTTGTAATTTCTAATTTTTGATTTACTGAGCAGACTTTAATTCAGATTTTTCTTCTTTTGCAATTCCAAAAAGGTTTGCTTAAAAGACTTAAATCAAAAACCAACAATGAGTGAAAATTTAAAATCAATTATACAACTTATCAAACCTTTCAGTGGCGAAAGGCGAAAGCCAATATTCAGAATATTTCATAAGAAACATCAATGAATTCTATCAAACCTACTACACTGGTGAAAATGCCCAGAAAGAGTACCTATGTGGTTACCGCCATAAAATCAAAATTAATAAATGACGCGGGAAATTTTCTTATGGCACGTCCTGATTTACAAACATGGACCGATATAAGAGAAGCGTTAAGAATAAAATATAATGATCAATATTCTAGACAGAATTTGGTACAAGAGCTGATGTATACCACTAAAACTAATAAAGAAACAATGGGGTAGTATACAAGTGATTTTTAACTACTGCGTCGTGATATACTTGACGTATTGTACTATTTAGTGTAATCAGTTGGTTTGTAAAAACCGCAATACACTGGAATTTTATTTTTTAAATTTTCTCTCAGCCCCGCCCCTACGTGAAAATAAAAATTCGTGACGTAGTTAGATTTTCCAATCTGACTACACATCACGGTTTTGAGAACGTACAATTTGCACTGACATTGACCGTCAAGAACGAAACGTCAAATTTACTGCATCAAACAACGTGAACAAGTTACTGTAACAATGTCACATGTCACACGATACCACACGTTGTTGAACTGTTGGAGTCAACTGTCGTTTAGAGGCATTTTGAGCAGCGTTGCCAGATGGTCAGCGGCTCGAATACTATTTGTCGCCGCTATGGTGCTAAATTCAAATTACAGTTTGTTCTTCTCTGACTAATTCTATAGACACTATGCTGGAAAATAATTTAGTATCTCAGTATACCATCACCATTTAGCCTATAGAATAATGTCGAGCAGTTTTTTTATTGATTTTCATCTATAGTATACTACCCCATTATTGAGTATTTGGATACACTACTAATTCGCCAACCGAATTAAGAAAAATTTTAATGGTTCAAAATCGACAAACGTTGGATGCAGCTAACAAATTTGTGTTAAATTATCAACTAGCTGAAAACCACATGAAATTTAGTAGAGGACTTAATCATTTTACTAATCAGAATCAAAATCAAAATTTTTCAAATTTCAAAAATTAAAATAAGCAATTTCGGTCACAACAAACTTATACTCAACAAAAACCTCAATATACACAAAAAAAAAACATCCTATGTACCATAGAAACCACAGTTTCCATCCCAACCTATTAATATAACACCTAAAAAGGACTATGTACCAACAAAGTGTCCTGCTAGTTCAGGAACTTTTGGCAAAAATTATAATAATGCCTTTCAAAAAAACACTAATCAACAATTTTCGAAACCGACACGTATGTCCGGAGTTTCAGTGCAACTTCGAGCATAAAATCAACATCAATACAGACCGAATAACTATTTCAAACCTGATCCAGATGCAGAACCATCAAAATATACAATCGAAGAGATTAATAATATCTTTGAAATATAATTACCTGATCCTGACGAAAATGTCAAAACTGAAGAATATTCCGAAAATCAAAACTATTATGAAAAGACAAATTTTGAAGAAAATCAAGTCGAAACTGAAGACGAAAATTTTCAGTTACAAGCCTTGAATGCAATGAGTCAGCATTAACTTTGAATGCTTATCAAATCAACCAACTACCTTTTATTCAAATCGACTATCCACCGTATAAATTATTAATTGACAGAGGAAGTCATGCCTCTTTAGTAAGACCCTCAATCGCCGAAGTATATTTTTCAAATTCTATAATTAATTCAAGAAACATGTTAACTACTTGTACAGGTACCATCGTCACCAAAAATAACTGGGACAGCATCACATTAGCTTTTGTCCTATTATATAAATTTTATTGTCAAATATTTGTCAAACTATGATTAAAATCTCAGATTAACAACTAAAAACGACAGATACAACAGTAAACAAACAATTCGCGATCCAACATCCATAAGGTCGATTTTTGCATGAAAAGCCTGGTTGCCAATAATCCGATGTGATTTTCAATATTAAATGTTTTCACGGATAATCATTATTTCAAAATATGTTTTAACATAATATAAATGTTTTTTTTATATCAATCTTTGTTGAAACATAACTTGAACGCCTTTTTGAAAAAAATAATTAGTCTTTTTATAATTTAAATTGGTGAAAATTCGGGAAGAACCAGGAATATATGGCTCGAAAAACAGCACATCGGCAACGTTGCATCTACGAGCAGCCAATCAGATGATTTTAGGTGACTTATGGCAGCCATAATGGATTTCGCACTGTTGCTGTGAAGTGATAGAGATAAATTTTGTGATTTGAGTGTTAATCAGTGGTATTTTTGGATTTAAATATGTGGAAAGTGTGGTGGAGAACGTTAAAATGGTAAATCGATGTATTATCTTTAATGATTCCAAGCACATTTTAATATTTCGGCGGTAAGAAATTTGACATCATTTTACGCTTGACATTGGCGTAGATACAGGATATTTATGGTAATTTATTGTGAATGGCAAAATTGAGAGGAAACTGAACACACCGCCCCTGAACAATGTTGCCATTTTATAGGTCTATCTCTCTCCTACTCATGTCAGGGACTAAAAGATGATTGATTGTAAACATTGGGCGATTTCTAAATGGCATGTTTGGTCTCTAGTTTTATTATTAGTCTGAGATTAAAATGCATTGAAATGAATGACAGTAGAATTAGTCCAGGAGATTTTCATGGATTATTTTTGTCCCAGATACTTTTGGTGACGATGGTACAAGAAAAACCCAAGAAAAATCAATGTCACAATTTTATAAGAATATAATATTCAAAACAACATTGAAATAATAATGTACAATTTCCATGACTATTTTGATGGAATTATTGGAATCAGAGCATTACAAGAAAATAATTTAAATATAGATTTTTCCAATATGCTTATTTCTAATAATAAAACAATAATTCCGTTTCAATATAGAACAGATGTCGAAAATCAAAATTTTGAGATTCCAAGCAACTCAATTCAAGTACGTTATTTCAATACAAATATAGCTGATGGCATTGAAATTTTTACACCACCGATAAAAAATTAAACATATTATATTCCTTCGACAATAGCAACAGTCATTAATGAAATGGTGCCTTTAGAAGTACACAATTTAATGAATAAGCCTATTATTGTCCCATATAACATAAATAACTAACCGGACATAAGTTCATCTTATACTGATGAACAGTTTGAGATATTTAATGTAGAACAAATGACTTCATTAGAAAATGATGAATATGCAAATGACCCTATAAAGTCGCTACGTATTAATCATTTAAACTCAGAGGAATTTGATGCTTTAAAACAGGTAATTTATTCTTTTCATAAAATTTTCCACAAGCCAAACGAAAAATTGACATTCACCAATCACGTCAAACACGAAATTGAAACAACAGATGAAATACCAGTGCACACGAAAACGTATAGATAACCTCATATGCTTGAACAAGAAGTAAATTCTCAAATAAAGAAAATGTTAGAA